GTAGAAAAGTAACTCTTGTATGTGGCCACGTTCTTAACGCCAAATCCAAATATAAAGGCAGCAGTAGGGTTTTTTTAAATATAAAAACTACTAGCAAATGCATTAATTTATACCCTTATCTCCAATAATACAGCCTTGTGAATTTTCAAAGTATTGTGCAAACACAGTTGAACCAATTTTTGCATAGTATATTTCCTCCTAGAAGATCTCAAAGTACTTTACAGTTTTAAAATGTTGATACATAAGATAAAAACTATCCATCCTGAAATGAATTTCTCTCTTGGGTGCAACAGTGCAGCTGTTTAATGGTACATAGTATTACTGTAAAAGTTTGAGAAGAAAGTAAAAAGGATGAAACTGCAGGAAAGTTTAAGGAAGGTACAATGTAATGCTTAATGATTTTGACAGAGACCAGTAGTTATAGCTTGCTTGTACAACATTTAAATTGCTTTTGGTTATGAAGCCCAGTGCACAAGCCAAGAAGCATTCAGGGACACCGAGACAAATTGGTAAGACCAGGATAAATTCCTAGGCACTTGATTTTTGTATGTAGTTAAATACCTGATTCCACTGCCAACCACCCTATTTTGATAGACTACTTTGTCAAGTAGAAATCTATTGGCTTCCATCTTGTCTTACTTGACTTTCACCCCAATCCACAATTCTCCGTTTATTTTTCAGATGGATTCTTCATTGTTTGAAAATAAATCTACTAGTCATGAAAAGGTGTCTAGCTGACAGAACTGAAAGCCAAAGTCTGCCATTCATGGAGCTGATAGAGAAGGAAAAAAGTCTGCGTTATTTTCCAAGCCAATTTTCTGTCTAGTCTTGTTCTGGGCATCATATGATTTCTATGCATTTGCTGAGCTGTTTTGGGAAAAAAATTCTGTACACCCTTACTTCTCTAATAAACCCCACCAATTTCAGAAGCCAATCCTTTTGGAACTGCTTAAATGGGTTAAAATGTACAGGTTTAACAATCTCCAGCATACTGTCTCTCTGCTCTGAGGTTATTAGCAAAACTTCAAATTGTTGGGGGAAGGAAGGGGGAACTACCAACTGTCCCATTTAGGATACCAACTGCTTTTACAAAAGTTGTTAAATATCTATTAGTTTACACCTACATTTTCCTCACATTGTTGAAATATTTTCATTTACATGTCTATTCTACTCGAGTCTCAAAGCAAAATATGCTGTACTGCATCATTATTGCCCCACGCTAGCCTGCTGTTTCTCCAATTGGATTCTAGTATTTAGTTTGATGAAATCTATTTTTTCTATATTTCATTTCTGTGCTCCCACATAACCTCCTCAGACCTTTGAATATTCACAGACAGTCACATATATGAATACTGTCAGTTTTAATAAAACAAATAATATTCCAACTGTTACCAAATTTGCCCATTACTTTGGGATGTGCTCATTTATTAGGGATAGTTTCTAGGGTCTTGGTGATTCTGTCAATGTGCTGCTTGTGTTACTATACGGGGCTGTATTTCTCCCTTCTGCAAGCCCTCACCCCCAGTGGAGCTATCTTGCAGGACTCAATCTCAATGGGCTGGGTTCCTCCAGTCACCAAATCAGTCATACACACAAACACACACAAATTAACGTGACACGCCTGACCTGGCCGGGCTGATCAGCATGGACAGGCTGACACCCTCATATGCCAAGAATCAGTTCATAAGAGCAACAATAAAATGCAGTCAGACACAAGCACACAGGTAAACAGAATCCCTCTGAATCCAGCTGAGTGTCCAGCTGACACCCTCAGGGGCCAGCATTCAGTTCATAAGGGCACGTCTGAGTCAAACTGGGTCAATCAGCCTGTAGAAGCTGATCCCCTTATGTGTTTCAAACTCAGCACGTCCCAATCTTTGGCCTCTTGATGAGCAGACCCCACAATAACTTTGGGCTTCACAGGGATCTTTAGCATAGGTAAAAGAAGCGTTGCTGCAGAGCACGGGAGGAAAGAGAAGCAGAGAAGGAAAAATATACCCAATTACTACCAGTTTGACTATAAAAGTTATTTATTGCTAAGCATATGAAATATATAATAGTACTAGTAGTAATAGACATGCAAAAGAAAAACAAACACAAACAATGACAATACTACCCTGGTTTCACTAAGTATTTGGGGAAACTTAGCTCAAGCTTAACTGATACAGTTCAGGTTCAGAAGTTTATGCCTAGAAAGAAGACAGAGAACGCTGGGATCTCACCTAGTCCACGGTACTCAGGCTGCAAAGCTGACAGGCACAGTCCATAGCACAATCCTTGAAGAGAGAGACGA